AAAAAAAAAAACACCCAAAACTCTTGTGAGGGCCAGATGGCTCAGTGGATAGCAGTGCTTGCTACCAAGCCTGACAACCTGAGTCCCAGGACCCATCTGGTAGGAGAGAACTGACTCTTCAAGTTGTCCTCCGACCTCCGCACACTCACTGAGGCCCGAGAATGCCCCCCTCCATGTGTGCACACATAGAATAAATAAAAATGAAGTAATAAGAACGGGTAATATGAAGGGGAAGGGGTGAGGGTGGGTGGGGGAGGGAGGTATCAGTGGGGAGAGTAGAGCAGAGAGGGGAAGGGAGGGGAGGGATAACTCATACTAAGGATATTTGAAAAGCCCATACGTTAGCCTACCATTTTTATAAGCTGTATAGTAGAGTCATATAATAGAGTCTAATTGGAGTTAAACTACACAAGGTGGGCTATTTTCCTCCCAGCAGCCGTAAGTCAATAATAAAAAGCCCAATACTAAGTTTGGGATATTTTCCCTTGAGTTGTTGGTCAGGGGCATCTTGGCGACCCCCATAATAATACAGGCTCTGTCATTGTTCTTGGTTGCCCACAGAAACTCGATAGTAAGACCTTATTGCTGGAGACATAAGACACATTGCTCACAGGAGATGGAGAAATCCAGCTGGTATTGCCCAGGAAGCTCCCTCCCTGCTGGCTAGCTGGAAGATGCTATGTAGGCTATTATGAGGGAGGGAGTGAAGTCATGGAGTCTTACCCAGCAGTGAACTCTATGAACTACAGTAATGACCTGTGCAGCAAGATACACCTGTAAGTACAATAGTGGCCAAATATTATGGGGTAACCAAGCACTTTCTGGTTGGATTTAAGGACTGACTGCAGGAGGAAACGCATGCTGCTTTCTACTCTATGGACACAGTATCTAACTGCCCTCTAAATCGCTCTAGTCATTGATTAGTGAGTGCAGCGTTCCGATCTCACCAGAGAAGTTGCTTTGTACAGTATATGATGGTTAACACCGAGACTCACAACTGGTCAAAGCTGCAAAGAGTAAGGGTCAATGGAGCGCTCAGCCTGAAGTGGGACATCCACATCACACACACCCCAGCAAGGCTCGAGGCCATGAAGAAGAAGAGGGACAAGATCGGAAGAATTAGAGGTCACGGTGAAACAGCATCTTCTGAGGGGACCGCTGCACTAAAGAACTCAGGACAGCTGTGCCCCCTATTCTGGATCAAGCCGGTTGACAGTCTCGTATGGAAGGGAAATGGTTCACAAGCAGTACCACCCCAACTGAGGAGCTAGAGCCAGCGGATGGCTTCAGGGAGAGGGAAAGTCTGTTCCTTTAAGAGTGTGACCCTAGCTGGGCGGTGGTGGTGCACACCTTTAATCCCAGCACTCGGGAGGCAGAGGCAGGCGGATCTCTTTGAGTTCAAGGCCAGCCTGGGCTACCAAATGAGTTCCAGGAAAGGTGCAAAGCTACACAAAGAAACCCTGTCTCGGAAAAAAAAACAAAAACAAAACAAAACAAAAAAAAGAGTGTGACCCTTGGTGTGAGCACGCTCCAGCTAATGGCCACACCCCAGGAGTGTATGAGCATCACAAACTGGACTCCTTGGGTTATTGAGAAAAAGAAAAGAGGACACAAGGGTGGGGGTGGAGGTGAGGAGGATCTGGGAAGAGTTAGGGTGAGGAGGGGGGAAGGTTGAGGGGGTTGGGAAGGGGAGGGTGAATGAATATGATCAAAATACATTGCATGAGATTCTCAAAGAGTTAATACACATATATTGAAAAATTAAAATCTTATACATGAGTTACCACGATGCCTATAGGGGGATTTGATGGTTTTCTGGTTTCCATGGTCTATCCAGTCTAATATGCCAGGAGACCTGACAAGCAGTGAGGCAAGGCAGGGGTGCTCAGCATGCCCCAGTTTTAAAAAAAAAAAAATGAGAACGGAGAGGAAAGAATTCAGGGCACCTTCTGAATAGGAAATGTTTTAACATTCTGCGGTACTTCATCGCACCTCCATGTAAATTCCTTTCAAACCCGTGTCAGAAAGGTGTTCTCCTTATTTATAGATGAGGGAGATTTTTTATTTTATTTTATTTTGAGTGGGCTCGTCGTCGTCCTCGGGTCACACAGTTGTGAGAACTTGGTAAAGGCTGGCTCATAGTGCTCCTCTGATGTCATGTCCTGTGCTCTTGCACAATGCCTACCCTGTCCTGTTCTTAAAAATTAAACTAAAATGACATTACACACTGCTTCCTCTTCTATATCATCCTATCCCAGAACTTGTGTGACCAGTGACTTGTCCCAGCTGTCCAACTAGAAGGTGGCCACAGCCTCCAGTGGCTCCCTGATTTTCCCCAGGAAAATCCTTGGGCTTGAGAGTCTAACACAGAAGGAAGCAAACTGTTCTTCTATGACTTATATCTTAATATTTTTTCATATCTTAATATTTTTTCAATAATCCTTGTTTATTAATCATCATTTACAAAGTAGGAAGACAGGTTTCTGAGCCTGAGCATTAATTTAGTTTGAACCTAAGTTTAAGAACTTGACACAGAGCTGTGTGGTGACGCACACCTTTAATGCCAACACTCATAAGGCAGAGGCAGACAGGTAGATGTCCAAGTTCAAGGCCAGCCTGGTCTACAGAGTGAGTTCCAGGACAACCAGAACTGCACAGGGAAACCCTGTCTCAAAAAAACAAAACAAAACAAAAAACAAAAACAAAAACAACAAAAAAAAACCAAAAGGCGGGTGGGATCCAAGTCCAAAAGAAAAACAAACCAGAGAAAACAGAACCTAGCATTAATTGCCTCTTCCTCCATCTCTTGCTGAGAACCGAGCAGTAGTTTCAGTTTACGAAGTCCCATTTTACTGTTTAGCCTGGAGTTGAAGAATCCACCTCATCCAGCCTTGCACCACCATTCAAAGTCCTTATTTCTGCGTGAGTCTCTGCCTCTCCTGCAGGTGCATCAGTGGGTACTATTCTTTCAACTTCACCTTCAAACAATAAACTTCAGCTGGGTATGGTGGCACACCTCTGCCATTCCATTCATCACTTAGGAGACTGGGGGGAGAAGGATTGCAAGCCCACGCCCACCTGATTATCTTAGTTTCTTTTCTATTGGTGGCTGTGATAAAATGCCATGACCTGGGCAACTTATAAAAGAAAGACTGTATTTGGGCTAAGGTTTCATAATGTTGGGATCCATAATGGCAGGGACATCACGGCAGTAGGCAGAAGACATGGTGGATGGAACTGGAAGCTGAGCGCTCACATCTTGAACCACAAGGGTAAAACTGAGAGTGAATCGGGAATAATGTGTGACAGACAGTTCTTCCAACAAGGCCACACTCCCTAAGCCTACCCAAATAGC